CAGCCAATCTTTTTTTCAGTGTACAGAACCGATTTCATTCGTAATTTGATTTAATTGCATAAAATATAAAAGTTAAAATATAAAAATCAATACAAAAGTTGATCGTACGCAAATTTTTCTGAATTCTAACATCGCTTATGACCGAGTAAGCCAAATTATTACCGATTTATCTCGCACCGAGTGTCATAAATCGACACGTCGAGCTGCAAGCGTAAATAATTACGCGTGGCGAGATGCAGACGCTGGATAACTTCTCGATCGAGAAGACGTGATGAAAATAACGCGCAAAGAAACACGACGAGGAAAGGGAGGATAAACGAAAAAGAAACAAAACAGAAAAAAGAGTGGAACCACGAGTACCAGCAGCGAGACGAGGAAGAGACCCGTTATGGTGACCGTGTTGCATCGCATTAACCAGTCGACCGAGTGATCCTGATCCAATCTCTCGTGCATTCGGTTCCTCCAACGAGCAAAGCTTTCATCGCGACAGTAATCTATTGTACCTGCTAGTAGTCAGAGTACTTATGTATCTGTCAATTATAGATCATGATGCGTATAAATCACATTTTTAATGCGCTTATTTAAGGCTCATTTAAAGCCAATTTTATTAAAAGATTTAATATTCTGAATAAAAATTACTAAGCAATTGTATAAGATCTGTATACTGAAAAAAAATTCTAAATTTAAGTAATATTTTCTTGAATAGTAGGTAACTAAGTAAACACTTCTTTACTGCAAATAAATATTTATTTAAAAAGAAAGTAATACTTAAATCAAATAATATGTTTACATTTAGTAAATATTTATTTGCAATAATTAGGAAATATTACTTAGATTTAGGAAAATTTTTTCAGTTTATGAAATGTGTATACAGAGTAACATAAAATATAGAATTTTTCATTCTTACAAAATCCACGGTTAGTAAATCTTAAAATGCTATTTACATACTTAAATCTCTTGTATATACATATATATAATAATTTATTGAATAAATATTGATTTATTACTCTTCAGTAGTTTGCGGAAAATGCTTTTTATTTAATCCACTAATTGCCTGTGGTCTCCATTTATGAATTTCATCTATTTTTTATTTTTGATATCAATAATCATTTACTCATCATTTTGAATTAAAACTTTTTCAAATAAAAAGTAAAAGTTTGGCAGTTAATAGATTAATTTGCTATGAAAGCTGATATATTTTGTCTAGAAATATTCTGCGGAAATATCGGTCAGAACATTTTATTATGTAAATCATGAGAATGATTTTATTTTGTGTAGTCTGCTTTAATCCGAGTGATTATGCGATCATAAACGAGAATATAATTGTGTTTGTGATTTGTACGTTCTCTCGTGCGACCCAATACTTTTCATAATTACGTATGGATGAACGGACTTTAATTAGCTACAACGAGCCGTAGGCAAGAAACGTATAGAATTTCCCTGAAATTTAGTTAAATTATTATAATCATCTGCTTGCGTACGGACGATTTATCCGCATTGTATAATTATTTCGGACTATAATGAGGCGACATGTTAATTAGAATTTATTTCGCCATTATCGTGCATCGATATTCGTCGGGATAATTAGGCATTTTGTTATTCTAAAAAAACGACATTAACTAAACCAAATCAATAAATCCGTGTTCTATTTATTTACGAAGTAAATATCTATCGCGTATCTCATTTTTGCTAAACTTTCGGTTGTGGTTCGCTTCAATCTCCCGATAATTCAGAATTCCCTTCGAATCATATATAGGAATTGGTTATTTGTTTCTATAACGTTAACTGCTTCGCTTTACTTAACAATATATGCGTCAGTGACCTGTACGGCATTCTATTACGCAACAGATCGACGACTGGAATGTCTGTACTGTTCCAAAGCATTTTTTCCCTCTGTTTTTTTAAACATTTTTATCGATAACGTCGCAAGGTATAACGGCATTCCGCAAATTCCGATTATTCTTCGACGGCAGTGGCGCAATTTTACTACCCTCCAAAGTATTGAGCATCACTCAGTTCCGAAGTTTTAGATATTCGTGATACGAAGTCAGAGACCTCTCTGGCTGCCTGCCTGACGATCTTTCACAACTTTGTAACAGTCGTTATCAAATAACGGTTTCACGTAAGTACATCATAAGTAATGCATTTTAAGTCACGCTTGAAAACACATTTATCTCTTGAAAACAGAGCAATGACGGGAAATGAATCACGACTCACCTGAACGTCCACCAGATGTTGAAGCACATCGTATTCAGCCAGAAGAAAGCAGCCAGGAAGAAAAAGTGTGCCATAATCGCTGAAACATAACAAGTCTCGTTAGTTTTACAAATATTAGAGGTTTAAGAAAGATTTATTTTTCTTTTTTTTGTGAGAATATTGTGTGAGACGGCAAATATTTTACTTTTACGATTTAAATAATTTTAATTATTAAATATTGGTTTAAAAAGAAAAATCAAGTTAACAGTTGATTGTTTGAAACTCTTTTGCTCTTCAGTCGGATATTTTAGTCATACCAGTGTATGCAAATTTTCACTCACAAATTTAATAGCAAATTATTTTGTATGCTGTGTGTGTGTGTGTGTGTGTGTGTGTGTGTGTGTGTGTGTGTGTAATTCTTCTTTAATAATCTTTATCACAATTCTTAACGTATTTTAGACATTTTGTAACGGGTAAACTCGTCTAACAAAGACGCCGTCGGTTTTCAGAACTTCGATGCGTTCGTAAAAGATTCATAAACCATGGAGAAGATTTCGAGGGTAGGACACGCAAAAGCAAAGGGTCGGACAAAACTTCAGGGAGACAGCTTTTGTGAGAATCTGCTTGAAAAGTCGCCGAGATGATGCGCGACTGGTGGTGTCTTATAAATTTTTTAGAATCGCCCGCATTCATCCTTAGAATCTGCGCGCGTCTATTCCTAATGAAGGCGAAAATTACGTAGAGATCTTCGCCATCTTAACCATCATTTTATTTATAGTAACGCCATTCAACACATATTTTATAAAAAACATAAATTAAGAACATAAATAGTATCAACGATTATTAGTAGCAATATACTCTGCGGATATTTACAACTATAATTATTGTATAAACTATATATATTGTATATATATAAATTTTATTTCAAATAAATTTAATAAAAATTCAATAAAAATAAATATTAAGTGAAAATAACAGAATACATAAAAATTATACATGTAATTATTATCTATAATAACAAAAAGAATTATTAACTCTTGTTAAAAAAATCGATCTGATCGAAAAAAAATTGATCTAATTAAAAAAATCTAATTATTCTTCTTAATAAATAACAAAATTTTCTATTCATTCTTTCTTAACTCTCTCTTATTTATTAATTTTTAATAGCCTTTTAACTTTCATGGTTTCTTTAACATTCGGAAATATACGAAAATACAAAATCATGATAGTGGTGGAAAGATCAGATGGCAAGAGGAATGAAATATCGTTTCAATATTTGTGCAGCTCACGTATTGATAAATTTTTAATAGCGTTGCGTGCGCTTGGCCCTTAGAATACAGAACAATGAGCGCAGAACGGAAGCCATGGTGAGAGAATGCGAACATTAATTTCTAAAAACGCAATCGACAGCCATACATAACGACGATAATAACGAATGTGCTGGCTCGCGCTCAGACCTTGTCAAACATTCCTTTGCAAATAGGTACTTCATTTTTAATAAGCACGGATGAATGTGCGACTGAATGTATGTCATCTGCACGACGAGACGAAATGTATATTGTAATTAAAACAAAGGTGACCGTCAATCGTCAATTGTCCATTAATGATCAAAATGTTACATTTTAATTTTTTAAAGTTTAATTACATACTATAATTACATATTATAGTCAGAGGAGGACATTTCACAAAATGTAATATATTCGCGATAAAATTGGCTAATAAAATAAAATATCCTATACGTAAAACAATACATATGTGTAGTGTAAATGTTTTTATTTCGCTAGCTTTGTGTCCAATAAAATTTTAAAATCACGAACATAAGCATCTATCATTAATTACATAATCATGTTTTTTCATGGGTACTCTGTCATGCACAAATTTAATTTCACACGACTTGTATAATTATAGCTGTCTGGCAAGAAACACATCAATAAGCGATCGATAAGAAAAGACAAGCGACGTTAAACTCCTCGTGATAAAATACCAACTAATAGCGAGATTTATTGACACTTTCTATTTCGCAATATGCATATATTGCAACGTAATAGTACGTACTCGACGTACGAAGATAGAATGCATGCAAGACCTATCAGACCAAGTTCCTTGCATTCACTCTGTTACATGTACTATGAATTACACACCTCGTTCGCACCTCGGGACAAACGGGCAATTAGAAGTCCTTGCGCATAAAAATATGAATAACGGCAGCGAGTGACTCATCGCGTGACTATCGCTTAATCGAGTCTCTATTCAGTCGCAATTATTCTAACGGAAATGGTAAAAATTTTGTGGACGGGAAGATAAATCGCAGTGTAAACATGCCTGACTGCGGGCCGCGGGTTCAATTAACTTTTACTTTGTACACACACGTCGACACGAGTGGCATATATAACGCGAAAATTCATATCGCTAATGGAGAGAGCAACCAAGGGCGGTGATGCAGAATCGAGCGGTTTTAAAGATCAATTATAGTGAATTCTCTCTCTCGTCGCTGGATTTACGATGTCAAGACAACTGTACACAGAAAAATACATACTGCGTATACAAATAATTAATTATTTGTGTCAAATGTAATTTCAAAAATTCATATATCTGCAAAACTATCACAAAAATTCATCACAAGCATCAAATTTAGGATTCAAAATATATTCTGAATCCTAATAAGTTTACTACTTCAATTAAGATTATTAACTTAAAACAAATTCGATTTGCTTATTATATAAGTCATTTCTTCAATTTTATAATATTTTTCAGAAGAAAATAAATTCTTGTTTTGAGTACACATTAATAAATTTTTCTCAAATTTATAAGTAGGTACATTTTAAATTTAATATAAACAAAATATTCTTTGTTAAAAATAAACGTTATTTTAAAGAAAAGAAGTAAATTGAGTAATAATTTTTCTTAGCAATAGAATATGATATTTTTTTAGATTTTCATAGTTATCATTTAAACGAACGAAGAGGTTACATGTAAAGTAGAGAAACAAAATAAAAAATATTTATTTTATAAAAATTTCAATTTGCCGATGATTATAATTAATTTGCGAATTATAGATGTGTTTTTAATAAGCGATTTGATCAAATTTGTAATATTTATGATATTCTCTAAACATGTTAGGAAACGACTATTTTATTATGAGAGAACTCGTTTAATGAGACACGTATCCTCGTACGCGTGTGCATAAACTTATATTTGGCTAAATCCCAGGAAAATTACTTTCGTTGACAGTTGCCCGGTAAGTAAAACGCAATGTTCATTCGGTAGAACGTGGACTAACGACCTGTAGTTACAGGACCACCTCCGACGACGCCCGAAGTCACGGGCGAAGTGAGATTAATGCGTACGTTACATGGTGGTGAAATCGTCAAATAATTCTTCGCCGGGAGGCTTTCACGGGACGGCAGCCGCCGGCATTTATCGCGCGGCCTAGAAATAATTAAATTTCCAAAACTAATTACGACTCGTTGCAATTATAACTCGGGCGACATTCATCCGTGAATCGCCACACTATCATCCACCCTCGTCGACCGGCGCCCGGCACCGGGGAGGTTGGAGAGCTTGCAGGCGAAATGGGGGCGAACCGTTACGGTGCCTCACCCCACGACTGCCACCCTTCATCGACAAAATCCACCCGGCAACGTGTTTCGGACGGCGGAGGCGGATCGTGTTTGCGCGGTGTGTTTTCCATTTTCCACGCCCGGTAGAATCCACCGTGTGCAGCAATGATCCTTTTGTTGGAATTAGTACCGGGAATCAAGAGAGAAAGAGATAAAGAAAGAAAGAAAGAGAGAGAGAGAGAGAAAGATAGGGAAGGGATAGAGAGAGAAAGATGGGAATATAGCGTGGGGGATGTTTTCAAGTACGATGCGCGCTGCTTGTTTTCTCATTCATCATGATTTATATGAGTCGTGAACAGCGATGTAAAGACACGAGGAGGAGAGCTAGATAAAAACATGATCTTGTGTTAATAGATAGAAAGATATTCGCTTCCGGAAAAGTATTCTTTATGTCGCGTGTCAAGAACGTATTATTTTTTTCGTGAAGAAGTGTAACATGTCCTAAAAATCAAGAGAAATTATGTCTGAGCGCGAAGTATACTGTTATTTTTTAGGTAGCGAGAAAATGTATCATACCAGTAAATACTAGTATAAAATATACTAATACAGGAGGCTAATAACCATATAATAACAATTAATTCAACAATAATAATAGAACTACATTAACTGCATTAGAGTTAATTCTTGATTAAATTATGATTGAATTTAATTATTACGTGCTAAACATGCAAACTTTATCTGATAAATAACTTTAATGTGATTTTGTCGAGTGACCAAAATTATGATCTTATTCTATAAAAGCCATAATACTACATACACACTTCCAACAATTTCCAAAAAGATTTGACAGAAATATAAAATATAATATTAATTGTCTTTTTAAACTATATAAAGATATAGAAAATCAATCGTTACTTTAATAACGTACGATATAAAGAACTGCTAAGATTTTCTTAAGCTTCCTGCTTCTGACTTTTATCTTTTTAAACAGAAGTATTTAGGGCAAACGAATGAATGTTTACATCCGCAATTGAATACTCCCTATAGACCAAGCCTATTTCCCAGTTCGTAAGTTTTACGACGAAGAACCTTTCGTTAAGATTGGCTTTTAGACGCGGAGAGCATTGAGACAGAAAGCTTTGAAAGAGGAGGGAGAGGAAAAGGAGAAAGGGCGCGCGAAGCAGCTGGGGTTAATTTAAGTCACGTTGTACAGAATCGAAGGAACTAGTACTGCGGCGTTTACGTGTACGACCCTATGGCGCCACCAGGGGTGAGTGTCAAGGGTTGAAACGTCAGCCAGCTAAGGGCGTCTCGATTTGCATGGGAGGAGGGTTTCGGAATTAGATTGCACGGGTTGACCCATCGTTTATCTTTTTCTTTCCCAGAGAGTACATCTAATTGCCCTGAGGGATGACACTCCCCTTGTTGAGCACGTGCGTGCTAACGTTATTGCTGCGCCGCACTTCGTCGGCAGTAACACGATATGAAAGAATAAATGTATATTTATTTCAATTGGAAAGCCCGCTTATAATTAAATGTC